AAAATCACCCCCTTCCAAGCTTTCCTTGGGCCATAAATCGCTGCCCTGGTCTCACTTTGATCAGTGGCATGTGCTGCCATCAAGGGCTCTGTTAACCCCGGCGAGTGGAGCAGCCCCTCTGGGGTCCCACTGCCTCCCAACTCAGCAGCCTCTGCGGAATTACGGGAGAAAATGAAGAGGATAGCTATCAAAACAATTCACTGTTCGTTAAAGTATTGCTCACGAGGGGCTGATGGACACTGGAATAAACAGCAGGAGGAGAGAGAGAAGTGATGCACTGGGCTCCTCACCAGTCCCCTGACTGCAGCTACTACGGAGGAGCCTGCCAGGAAATATTAGATGTGAAGTGGATATGCAATGGGAGAGGAAAAATTGTTAGGAAACTGCCAGAACCCCTCAGCTGATAAAGACAAAAAGCTGGAGGAGGCATTGGAAACCTAGAAAAGCTTCCTAAGTACAAATCTGCTGATAAAAGGTTGCTCCAGGCTGAGGATATCAAACACAGGTAGCAACTAATTGTCTAGATAATTAAAGCAGGACTCCCTCCCAGTTCAGCTGCAGCAGCATCCACTCAAAGGTGCCTTTATTTAGGCGTTGCACATTCCCACATATTTATGGAACCAAACCAGTGGAAGCCCCTTTTTACAGGTATAACCATCACTGCACTACAGTCTCACCTCTCTCTGCCCACACTGCTCATGGACACCAGGGAGTGAAAGCAGCACAGAAACACGTAGAGCTGCCCCAGTGACTCTGCAGAGACTTTCTGAGCCCCTCAGTGGTTTTTGGGGGGACCCTGCAAAGCACGGGACTCTCCAGTGCCTGGCTGTGGCCTTGCAGCTGCACTCAGCTTTGCACCTCCACCGCTGTGTGCCATCAGAAATGGCAGGAGTACTAAAATTACCCGGGAATTACCCCCTAATCCTGGTTTCCTCTTTTTTTTCCCACGCCCAGCATCCTCCAGCAAGGCAACACCAAGCCCTTCTCACAGCTCAGTTCAGAGGACTTCTTCTGTAGCAGATGAAATTCAGCTGTCCCTGGCATTAATTACATCAGCTCCACACGCACACAGGACACCAGGGACGGGCTCAGCAGGGGCTGCACGTCCACTGCAGTGACAGAGGGCAGTCCTTGTTCGTTCTGGGAAGGGGGACGACTGAGCAAGCGGTGACTGGTGCCCCAGACCACCTTCACCTGGCACACGTCACCTGCAGCCCCGGCAGAGGTTCCTCGGGGCACGAGGAGACCCAGCAACGTGCAAATTGGCAGGAGAAACTCAGATCCAGCAGATTCCTGGCTCCTTTCGCTGTACTTACCATGATGTTAGCACGTAAACGAGGCGCCTGAATCGGATCCACGCGGGAGCTCATCTGAAAGCTGAACAAAACACGTCCCTGGGCAGCATGACCACCCTTTCAGTGAAGAAATCGTCCCTAATATCCGATTTAAATCTCCCCTGGCCAACTTGAGGCTGTTTCCTCTTGTCCTATTGCTTGTTTCTTGGGGGAAGAGACCCACCCCCACCTGGTGACACCCTCCTGGCAGGGAGCTGTGCAGCAACCACCCGAATCCAGACCTGGATTTGCCCTCCGACCATTTTCCCTCTACTTGGAGGAGGCAGGGAAGGGGGAAGGGAGATCCTAACACAGCAACTTTCTTTACAGAAGGAAGATGTTCCTGTCATATTCAACTGGCATTTGGAAAGACACCTTGGGACATCCCTAAGCATCAACCCATTCCGAAGCCTCAGCTCTAATTAGCTAACGAACCAAACCAAACCGACCTCTCCTGCAGCAGAAACCAGCACAGATCTGTAACACCTCAAATGCTGCTGGAAAGAAGCAAGTCTGCTTGCCAGAAGTGCTCCTTGATGTCCCCAAATCCATAAACATCATCTCTAATGAGCAGAAAAGGAACATTATGTTACCTCTATTACAACAGGGTGACAGAGCACAACAGCCTCTGTCAATAGACTGTGCTTTTGTGGGTCACAGGAAGGTTTTACTTCTCTCTCAGAGCCTCGAATCCCTGTTTTAAGACAACCAAGGGACACACAAGGCAGCTTTAGAGCTGCTCCTTTTCCCCCTTACCTGATCTATATTTTTTGGGATGGCTCCTTAGAAGAAGGGCAAATGTAATGAGCCAGCTACTGTACTTTTTATAACTCTCCATCAGGTCCTTTCATTTGGGCCAGCAAGGAAGCTTGTTAGAGCTGAGAAAGCAACTAAGCATCTCTGGAAAACGCTATTAAAAGAAGATGAAACAAATGAAAAGCTGGGACAGACTTAATGGTAAATACATGGCCTGGCAGTTCAGCACAGCTACATCCTGTTTGCCATTATTATTTAATTCTGGCATCGATTGAAGGATGAGACAGACCAGGCAGCTCTCTGTGGGTTTACTTGAATACCATTTCACTTTTGAGATTAAACAAGCTCACGGGTTCGGATCCCACTGTCTCGCTGGGAAAATTCAGCCGATTGATCTGATATCGGTGATTACCGCGGTCCAGCAGCAAACAACACCTCTCTCATCATCCACGTGGGCAAACGAGCCCCTGCTAATTATCAGTGCCCAGCTCCAGGAGCGACCTGCTCCTCTGGAATAACGGGCTGTCCCACGTGCTGGGGGAGCTGTTCTTATGGAAGCAGCAGCTGCCACCCCGATCCAGCGCTGCTCGGTGCCCACAGACACCTCGGGGGGGGGTCAGTCCTTGGGGTGCAAACTAAAGGCTGGTTTGTCCAGCAGTTTGTTCCAGAGCTTTTTCCTTCCCTGCCCAGGAAGGTCGCTCCAGGCACACCAGATTAACTGTCTTACAACCAGCTGCTGATCCAGGTTTCTCTGGAAATCCTGTGGCTACATCCATCAATTCCCCACCTCCACCCGCCCTTTACAACCAACCACTGCTCTTCCTACCACCCCGATCCTTCCCTCAGAGGTAACTGCCAGGAGTTTGGAAGCAGGGTCAGGGCAAACAGTAAAAAAAAGAAGGATAGAAAGGCGAAGATGGAATACCTTTGAGTAGGGGAAGCTCCTTCCCTGGTTTGGAGGTGTGCAGCTGTCCTGGAATTGGATGTGGGGAAAAGCTGCAAGGGAACAAGAGGGATGACAGAGAGCAGCTACTCCCCGTTTTTACAGGTTCTGAGGAGCATTTTGTCTTATGTGAGCGGCTGTGAAAGTCAGCTGGTCTGTCCTGAGGGGAATTTGTGCCTCTCTTAAGAAACAAACCACTTTCTCTTCTCAACAGCAGTTTTTATTGCTTTTGCATGGAAAGAAAAGAAATAATTTTCTGCTATTCTTTAGCTTCTTTCTTTGTTAGGCCACATAAATTCCCCGGGGCTACTGATAGAGGTTAAATGGTTAACTTTGCATCCAAGCTGACCAGGCAAGTGAAAAGAGTTGGAATTGCCCAAGAGCACCCCAAAACTGCCCAAGTCACCGCCCTGGGGAGTGATTAACCAACACTTGCACGGGGAACAAGTTCTTACAGGCCTTGCCAACAAGACTGAAAGTCTGTGCCTCGAGATGTCATAGCAGGGGCTCAGGCTTGAAAGTGCCACCGACGTGTAGCTCAAGAATAACCAACAGAAATCTTTCCAAAGGGCTTTGGCTGAGGTCCCTCACACACACAGATCCTTCAAACCAGCCAGAAACAGTGTCCTGAACCCCTCCAACTCCCAGCTCCTGCCACAGTCCAGCCTTCAGCTACAAAATAAATACACAAGGGGGTTAACAATGAATAATATTTACTTTCCTTCATATGGTACATTCTGTAAAGTGCTAAGTTCCTAAATTACACCAAGTTAAGATGACACATGGCTCTAGTATTTTAAATACAATAAATATAGAATGAGCTGTGTTCAGCTGCACTTGCAAGTTTTTACTCTTTTTTTAGTAGACGCACTAAATTTAGTAGTTGAAATAGCCTCCAACAGTGCTCCAAGAAAAAACTAGGAAGCAGTTATAAATAAAATCACATCTTTCAGAGACATCCTACGCACTTCTCCTGTCCACGTTGCACACAAGCACGGCGCTCCTGCGAGCATATGGAGCGAGGAAAAATAAGGAAGCTGAAAATTACCTGACAATAAAAAAAGCAAAAAACCCTACAAGTTACTGCTACATATCCTCCCATAAACAGTCTGGCTTCCACATTTTAATCTCAGTGCACACAGCCCCCAGGTCTTCTCATTTCTGTCTCCCATTAAAAAACTCTTGCAGGAAGAACATCTTGCGAGCCACGGGCCGACTCGTCTTCGTCTGGCTCCTTTCTGCTGCAGAGCGGGAAAGACTCCTGGACGAACTGCCTGCACATGGGACACTGCTGGAAATACCTGACACAGCCATCACACAGGCACGTGTGCCTGCAGGGCAGCAGGACCCAGTTCACGGGGCCGTTCTGGCAAACAACGCAGTCTTTGCTGTTTTCCTCCTGCAGCTCCGGTTCGCTCCCGGCCAGCCCCTCCTTCTCCAGCGAGGTCCTGTCAGTGCCGCTCCTCCCAGGGAATGTGCTGCTCGAGGACGGTGCAGGGCTGTTTGCAGACATGAAGAGTTGCTGAAATACACGTAAGCAGGAGTATTTAGAAGTCA